CCCTAGGCAGCAGAGGAGTGGGTGCCTGAACTGGCCTTACCCCACTATCACACTGATTATTATCTCGAATATCATCATAGACTATTTTTTAAAGTTTTTACAATTTGTAAATTGGAATCTGCTTTAATTTTAACTTATTCTCCTTGGCTTTTCTTTTTCTTACTGTGGAAGCCTTTCTGTTACTGTTTGTTTGTTATTTTCATTTTGGGAACTTCCTTTATTTTTTAAGAGGTCAGCAAGAAACAATTTATCTTAATTTTCCATCATCTGGTAATGTCTTCATTTACTCTTCACATCGGTGGGGTAGTTTCACAGGTATAAGATTCAATGTTAACTATTTTGGATTTTTTTTCTTATTTAGCATTTAAAAGATAATTTCTCCATTTGGCCTCCACTGTTACTAAGAATAAATAAATACATTTAATTCAAGGTTTTCTGTTTTTCATACAAAATGTAACATTTTCCTGTGGTTTTAATAATATTGTTTCTTGGGGTCTGGAGAGATGGTTCAGTGGTTAAGAGCACTTGTAGCTCTTACAGAGGTTCCAGGCTTACTTTACAGTACCACACAGAGACTTAAAACTGTCTGGTACTACAGTTCTTAGAGATCCAATGTGTTTCTTTTATTTTCTGGCTCCTTGGGCACCCAGGCATTCACATGGTACACATAAGTACTTGCAGGAAAAACACTCAAACACATAAAATGAAAACAAATCTTTTAAAAAGTATTGTTTTCTTATTTCTTAGTTTTAAACCATTTGATTATGACACATCCTAGTGTGTATTTCTTTAGCATTACCCTGTATGTGGTTTGATCAGGTTCTTGAATCTGTAGATTTTTTTTCTTTCTTTGATTTTGTTTGTTTTGTTTTTTTCAAACTTTCGTTTATTATGTTTTTCTCTTACTTATCTGTCCATTCTACCTGTTTCACTGTTTCTACCACTTGGATGATTCCAGTTTAGATCCCTAGTTCTGTAAAAGGTCAATCTTTAAGTCCACTTGCTCTGTTCTTTCATCCTTATACTGTTGAGTGTATCCAGTCAGACTGACATATGTAAGTCCTACTGAAAATCTCCATATAAATTTTACTGCTCACCTGTAGTAGGACGCTGCTTGTTTGTTTCATGGCCACACAGACCCCCGAAAAAAATCACACAGAAGCTGTATTAATTAAATCACTGTTTGGCTAATTACTTAAGCATATTGCTAGCTAGCTTTTACATCTAGAATTAACCCATCTCCATTATTTTATATTTTATCACGAGGCTCACTGACTAATTACTAGGTTTCACCATATCTGTCTCTAGCAGCAGCTCCATGGCTCCTGACTCTGCCTCCTTTCTCCTAGCATTCAGTTTAGTTTTCCCTACTTAGCTCTGCTCTACCCTATCAGGCCAAGCCAGTTTCTTTATTAACCAATGGTATTCACACAATACAGAGGGGAATCTCACATCACTCCCCTAAAATTTTCTCTTCTTTCCCTTTCATCCTTTTATTTTAACATCAAGAGACTTTGTAATTGACGTTTAATCTTTATCATGCTTGTTTATAATTCTTATCATATAATTCTAATATCTGGATCCTTTTGTCATCCGCAGAATTTTTTTTTTATGTTAACACAATAAGATTATAAATTTCCTGGATTCTTATGATAAAGAATTTTTAAGAACAGTCTTGTTATTTTGAAAGGATTCTGTTGTTCTGTGCTATTTTCCTTCTCATGGTCTCTTTTTTTTAGGTCTTGTGTAGTTTTTATCTTCTTACATGAACTTTGAGCCTTGGTGAGGCTAACAGGTCTTCCTGGGCGCACTGGTACTGTGGAGGGTCCTACTTGGGGTTTCTTGGTGTCGTGGGAGAGAAATAATGAAAGATGCTTTCTTCAACTGTTCTTTTTTCTTTAGATGCATGGTATACAAAAAATGAATTTTAACGTAGTTACATAGAAATTTATCTTGTTCATCTTTCTTTTCACATTGATTGTGCCTATATTGGTATGCATAACATTTATGAAAATTTTCTCTATCTTGAAGTTATCAATTGTCTATATATTTTAGTAAAACTTTTAATGTTTTCTCTTCACATTTTTACATTACCTTTTAAACAATGATTTTAAAGATATATTTCTAATTTTTTAAATAAATTGTTGACTAATTTATAGAACTGATCTTGTCATATCAACTTAGTATGATACTGAAATGTCTCATTACTATAGCCAAACAAGATTTAAATAGAGATAGTAAATGGGGGGAAAAAAAAACTACTGATGGCTACATAAAATCCTCAAGGATTCTACAAAACCCTTTTCATAACTAATAAAGCATGCTCCTATTGTTGTCAGACAAAAGATAAAGGAGCAATACACTATCTGTCTGTCTGTCTGTCTATCTAACATCTCTATCCATTTCTATCTACTTCGAATGTCTGTCTGTCTGTCTGCCTGCCTATCACTATCTGTTTTTCAGACCCATGGAGCTAATACTAGACTCATTGGACTCCTGCTCCTTATGTATCAAAGGCTGGCCTTAAACTCCCGATCCTGCTTCTACACCCCAAGTCCTGGTGATACACCATTGCCTATTCACATGTAAATTTTGTAAGGATATCACCTGTACCCAGTGATCTATCTACTCTTAAATCTCTATGTTCAAAATTTACAAAGAGTAATAATGCAAGGCCTATCTCTTCTGCTGCTGCTGTGCAAAAGAGGATAGTGTGGTGCAGACACAAATGAAGGAAGGAGAAATAAACACAGAGATACGACCAGTGAACTTCTGACCAAGCAGAAACGTTGTTAAAGAAGAATTGATAGTCTTTTTAGTAAAGGGTGCTGAAGCAAGGAATTACCCTCTCAGAAATCCATACATTAAGTGAGACTGCTATCTAAACCACACAACCCACACCATGAAAACTGATTCAAAATGGCCAACAGACCTACACAATAACTTGTTTAGAATCCATGTAGAAAAAAAGCATTTCAGCCTAGTAATGGGCAAATAATTTTTAGACTTGACATCAAAAGTAAGATCCATAAAAGGAAAAAAAAAAGTAAATTGTATTGGGTCCATAGGTTTTAAGGCTCAATGCATAAAACACGGCAACCATTTGTGATGTAATAATGATCGATGACACAATTATATAGCTGAAAGGAACTGAACACATGATTTAACTTATACGTAATACATTTTCACTTGTTAAATGTTGCTTCTATAATATATTCAAATAAATATTTTTCAAACTTTTCTGTTGCAAGTTATCATCACTTGAAAAAGGAGATATGATTCTTTGGGTTGGCTAGGTTAAATGATAAAACAAAAACAAATTTAGTAAAAAAAAAAACCTAGAAGCCTGGTTATTCATTGAGAAAACAGAACTTGACTAATTTCTTTTACGATTGAAAGAGACATAAGGGTATGTGTTCTCATGAATGAGTGACTGGATACAAGGAAGGAAATGCAGGATTCAGTTTGGTATGCATTTTTCTTAAGCAGTTAGGGAATAGAGATCATATTTTGGATTTGGATTATTAATTATATTATATGTGTAAACAGAATACATGTTTGCTTCCTTATCCAAAAAAGAAAATCCAATAAACAAATCAAAAGGAATGAACCTGCTTATTAGAGTAAAACTTAATAAACACCAAGATATTAAAATCATAGGCCACATTAAATGTAGCAGAAACCAACCCCAATTATCAATTGTTCCATGGTGAACGGGGGAAATAAGTTCTCACTACTCTAAAACCCTCCCTGCTGTAGTTGGTGCTCTGAGCTAAAATTATCCCTGGGCTCTCTCTCTGTAACCCCAATTGATGTCATCACTGGGAAAACGGCAGGAAACTGAAGGAAACAGCTCTTGCGTTAAGTCTGATATAATTACTTTTTCAAAAGCCCAAGTATCCTGTTCTCTTGTTGACAGGGAAAAAACAAGCTTTGCAAGTGAGGAGGCTGATAGACCTCAGGAAGCTGTTGGGGGCATGGGTCCTCTGGCAAGGCATGGAAGGAAAACCTGCAAAACTAAGCTAACCAGGAGCAAAGATAAACTGGAAGAGACATATAGGCTTTGGGTGCCACATGTAATACCACAGAGAAAGTTAGTAACTATACCTAGTTGAACTAGAACCTATCAATAAATATTTTGCTTTACTTTCCCCCCAAATCTCCAAACAAAAGACAAGAGGAAGAATGTCTCTTTCACAGAGGTCTTAGTTACAGCTGCATTCATAGAGGATATCAGCAAGAAATGTATTTGGCCTGTTCTACCTCCTGTGTACAGCTACCTAGACAAGGTCACCAAGGAAAGTGGGACCAATGATTGGAAAAATATACTTGCAAGGCTCATCACCGAAGCAGAGGGAATAGAATATATGTCGCGTTTCCGCAAGCTGACATGAAAACAGCCAATTGATTTTCATAGTTGGTCAAAATTCACTGTTGTTTTTGGAGAAAATAAAAAAGAAGCATGTTTAACTGGGCCTGCAATGAGCTGACAGAGTGGATGAAAATATTCAAACAGCTTCCCAGTTGCCACCAAACTCGGGTGGAGCCGTCCACAGAGGTGGAGAGAACAAGGGGATGGAGTGTCAACAAAAGAGCTAGCCTTTGGAAGTCAGAGTTGGCCACGGATATACTGCTGGGAGAAGGGCTTCTCTTTCTCCTCTTTCTGATTCACAGTCTGGTCCTTTTTCCTGCTGGAGGAACACTTTAAACAACGTGGATAATCACAAACCCGGGAAATGCTGAGGCTCCTGACCCACAGCTCGACTCCTGTTAATGTCATTAGGAATTTTACCCGCTCACTTCCCTAATAGTTGAAGTTAAATCAAACACATTCCAGAAGTCAGACTTTGGCATTGTAAACTCCCACGAATCAGGAAGAGCTAGGATTGGCAAACTTATCAGATGGCATCCCCAGTCTTACAGCCCCCAAACTCTGAGGAGATTAGAGAAGGAAATCCGAGATTTAATATATGAAATGTGCTGTCTCAAATCACCACCACTAATTTTCCCAAGACAAACTTTATTGGAGGCAGCAAGCAGCTCACTGAAAGGGTAGGGTCATGCCTTCATCCCACCACTGCCCTCCGAAGACGGGCGTATCCTGAGCACGAGTCAGAAGCAGGCACACACCACAGTCGCACATAAACTTCCTGGAGAGTCCTGCAGCAGTTTTCTTCTCAATTACATTTTTTATCTTCTTTAAAATACACTTTGATTTTATTTCGGGGAAAAATAAAACAAATAAAGGAACAACTTGCCGCGAGTGAGAATAGAGTTTCCCCAGAGTTAGGAAATGACACAGCTGCCCTTTTCTTTGAAGGGATTCTTGTCTTCTGGGATTCCCTTCACGAGAGGATCCTCTCCGGAACGTTCTTCAATATAGTTCTTTATTTCTTCAGAGCATTTAGACACCTGAAGTTTCAAAAAAGGGAGGGGGAAATCAAAAGAAACAAATTAGGTCAAGAATATTGAACTTTGCTGCAGGCTTTTTTGAAGTTGTTAAAATTTAGTGAATAAGATTTAATTTTTAAAAATAATGTTTTAACTATATATTTATCCCTCTGAATATTGGAAGTAGTCAAGATTGCTGGGCAAAAATTTGGGAACTGGGGGGTGGGGTGGGATGGAGGAAAGGGGATATGGGGAGAGAAAAGTGAGAAGGGGAGGATAGGGAGAACTTGGGGGAATGGGATGGTTGAGATAATGGAAGGTTGGATATGGGTGCAGGGAAGTACATATCTTAACTAAGGGAGCCATTTTAGGGTTGGCAAGAGCCTTGACTCTAGAGAAGTTCCCAGAGGTTCAGAGACATGTACCCAACTAGTTCCTTGGGCAGCTAAGGAGAGAGAGCCTGAAATGGCCCGATCCTATAGCCATACTAAAGAATATCTTGCATATCACCATAGAACCTTCATCTGGCGATGGATGCAGATAGAGACAGAGACTCACATTGGAGCAATGGATTGAGCTCCCAAGGTCCAAATGAGGAACAGAAGGAGGGAGAACATGAGCAAGGAAGTCAAGACAACAAGGGGGGCACCCACCCACTGAGACGGTGGGGCTGATCTATTAGGAGATCACCAAGGCCAGCTGGACTGGGATTGAAAATGCTTGGAATAAAACCGGACTCACTGAATATGGTGGACAATGAGGGCTGCTGAGAAGCCAAGGACAATGACACTGGGTTTTGATCCTACTGCATGTACTGGCTTTGTGGGAGCCTAGCCTGTTTGGATGCTCACCTTCCTAGACCTGGATGGAGTGGGGAGGAACTTGGACCTCCCACAGGGCAGGGAACCCTGACTGCTCTTTGGACTGGAGAGGGAGGGGGGAGGGGAGGGGGGCGTGGGGTGTGGGGGGAGGGGGAGGGAAAAGGGAGGCAGGGAGGAGGTGGAAATTTTTAATTAAAAAAATTTAATAAAAAAATAAAATTAAAAAAATAATGTTTTAAAAATTCTTCCCATGCTCTAAGATTTTCATTTTATTCTATTTGTATATGTGATACAATCTGTGAGAAAGGAACTTTAATTATTCAAGAAGCAAATGCTTGAAAGCCATTGTAGGAATGAATAGTTTATCCATGAAAATGTCTGTTCATGTGTTACGTGATTTCCGTCCTCTCTGAAATACACTTGTAACAAACCTATCTTCAAATTCTCTCCACGACAGTCAGCTGTCAGTCGCCCGTCACTGTTCTCACACAAACGCTTATGCCACACCCCAGAACTCTGTGTAGTCACAGAAGTGACGGGGGAAGACTGGCTGACTGGCACTGGTATATTTGTCCTCCCGTCTCACTTTAAACCGTGCCTCGGAATTCCTTTGACCAGTATGGCGATGATTATAATAAATGCTTTTCTAGGGGGGTTGTAGGGTTATCTGAGATTCTGGTAAACTTTTCTTCCACTGGGAAAGGATTAAATAGTTTTTTTTCTTTTTCAAAAATTCTGCCAGTAAGAGACAAGTTTCAGTTTTTTAAAAAATAAATAAATAAAGGAGAGTGAGTGGGAAATGAAAAGTAAGAGTCACTAAACATAAAGGGTCTGTTTTGAGAGTAAGAAGTTTTGAAGTAACGTGCGTACTATCGACAACGGTTTGTGACTTAAATTAGTACCCTTTGAGAGAGTCTCACTAAACATGTTTACATATATCTCTCCAAACATGCACAATTATTTATAAATAAGTACAGCTACCACAGTGTTAACACATCACACACAATTATGAAACATAAACTAGTAATTACAAAAGAATGAGATTCAAAAATAAACACAAGTAGAAACCTCATATCATTTTTTCCTTCTCATAACTGAAAGCCCTGTTCGCATGGCAGTATGTAGAACCCACTGGTCCAAACCTTAAAACTAGGTCAAACAGTGACAGCGATTAAAATATGATAATAAATAGTATCCTGCCAAGAATCTGACTATTGCTGGCACTCATAGTATGTGTGTTTTAAGGGAATTCTCAGTGCTGATAAATGGAGTGTTAAAACCTGGAGTCTACGGGTCCAGTGAAAAACATCTGGATAAGATCCTTGTTCCCCACTGTTCCTGCAGAAGCTTTTACACTGGGTTTCTGAAAATGTCAGTAATCTCCAAAAGTGGATAATTGCTCCTTCTGTGATGGAGAGGGCATATCTGACCCCTAATTAGTTAGCTGCAGTCAGATGTGACGTGTGAATGGGCTTGAGCACTACCCCAGGCATCAACAGAGATTGACAGGATAACATAGAGGGCACCCCAGAAACACTCTGGACGGACCTGCATTGTGGTTGTCTGTGGTGTTGAAGAAGGAATTAGTTAGCCTCTCTGGGACTGAAGTGCTTCTCTTGGCTCAAGTGAGGGCTCCAGTGGGATCTAAGAGCCACAGTGCTCACCTGGCACGGATAGAGACCTCTGTGCGTCATGCTGAAAATGAAATGCTGCAGTGTGAGATGGCCCCTCTAGGAATCCAGGAACGATCACCCTAAGTCTTTCTGTCTTCCTTGAACTTAGAAACTTAGAGTTTCCGGAGTTGGAAAAGCTGTTATGTCCTGTGCACCCTGGGGTTGAGGTGATTCCGAGGGAGAAAGTGCAAAAAAGAGATGCTTGTTTTTTACACTGGCACAACCACGGCCCTGCAGCAGAAACCTGTCCTTTCCTACACACCCCTGTAACTTCTACCCAGTGATGTTAACTACACAAACAGCTCCGCTTTGCAAAAGCAAAACATTATTTCAGTATACGCAGTGCTGTCCCTAGGGCTAGCACTTGCCAAACTCAGGGTTTTTGTCACCAACCAAAACAGCCCTTCAAAGGCCCTATTCCTCGAATCACATGACCTACTTAAAACTACGTGTAAGAATTTGTGTGAGGTAAATAGCTAGATGGCGGCCGGGGGGGGGGGGGGGGGGGGGGTTGTGCATAAAATAGCGAAACTCAAAAAGTTCCAGCCTCTTCCAAAGATCACCAAGGGATAGCAAAACTCTTGTGGTGCGAGTTCGGAGTCGGCTTACTGGCGCCTCGTTCCCATTTCTTCTTTTATTTTTTTTCAAATATTAAACTATAAACAAAAGGTAAAAATCAAAGAGTCCAGAGTGTGGCTCAGAGGTGACCACGTATTCAATGCCCTGAGTTTGGGCCCCAGCATCCCAAAGTTTTAAAAATAAAATCAGTTCAAATTTTTCTTGTTGAAGAGAAAAGAATCATTTTCTTAGAAATGACCAAATTACCTAAAAGCCTTTTTTTTTTTTTTTCTGAACTACAAGTTGCCAGACAGAGTGAGAGGATGAATGTAAAAGGCTCCTACGACCAGCAAGAAACTGAAGTAAAACTCCGAAGCTTTTCATGGAGTTTCAGTGGAAACTCCAGAATATTTTTTTTCATTTTCTGGTTAGGCTGGCCTGGAACTCTTGACCCTCCTGCCTCCACTTCCTAAGTGCTTGGGAATTACAGAGGTAGACTACCACACCCAGTCTGTACTTATTTTTTTTTTAAATTTGCAACCATATGTTCTTCAGTATAAATATAATTATGTTTATAAGCAAGTTCAGAAAACACTGTATTGGTCATTTGCATACTTACAAAAAGAGTTGAAAACTGCGTAAGATGTTCAAACAAATAACTGAAATTCAGGCAGTTTTTCCTAAAGCCCCCGTGGAGTCTTTGCAAAATCGAAGGTAACATGACTGGGAGGTTTCAAAATGTATTTTTAGAAGAACTCTTTAATTCCAGAATAGAAACCAGCAGCCGTTTGGGGATTGCTTATGTTCTTTTTAGGGCTATCTTGATGATATTTGACTTTATATTTCTTATTAATTACTGATTCATTAATTATACCTTTAGCAACTTCCCCACATCATCTAACAGCTCCAGGCTTCTATAGAGAAGCTGCCAGAAGAAAACCAAACCAGTTAACCGTGATATTCTGACCTCGTTAACATTTCTGAGACGGAATTCAGGAATAGCTGGCCACCTTACCTGTTGTCTCTGCAACTTCACTTCTTTGCGAAGTTGCTCAACCTCCATCTTCAGCTTTTCCTTTTCCGGAAGATCCTCAATGTGAAGGGCAGGCATCTTTGCCTCAGAACTGGGCCCAGGAGTCACTTGTGCAAGGCAGCCACTGGAAGCTCCTAGAACCAGGACGCGTCCCCAAATATGCGCCGGCCCAGGCTATCCGTCCCCCATCCCCCCACCCCCTCGCAGGACGTGACTGGCTGGGGAACCTCTGCTCCCAGCTCCCCGGGGCCTCGGCTTCCTGCCCAAGCCTGCTCCCGATGACCTTTCCCAGAGTCCAGGCAACCTCCAAGCGGCTTCTCCAGGCCCAGCAGCCCTGTATCCAGGCAGCTTGGCGAGGGTTAAGTATGAGACCTCCTCCTTCCTGGCTGTTCTGGGCAGGCTGCAGACTCTGCTGGACCACGGGCAGGCCTGGCGCTGGACCTTGCCACACCCACGGGAACTGCGGTTGGAAACAAAAGTTTTACTTTTGTTCCTTTATTATTATTTTTTTTATTTAGTGTGTGTGTGTGTCCGTCCAACTTATATCCGGATTTTGTTTAAAGGCAGGAAAAGGACACTACTCAACAGGAAATAACGGTCCTTCACCTCTCCAAGTTTTAAAAATACACAGTTTGTAACTTTTCCAAATACGTAATGGGGAAAGTGGATATTTGAAAAGGAGGGAGGAAGCGCAATGTGGAACTCAGCTAGGTCTCACAAGTTTCCACCAGAATTGTGTTGACACATGTCACGTGGTTTGCTAAAGTTTAAAAGGCCTTTGACAAATATGCTTGGAGGAGAAAAGTAATTTGAGATAATAGTGTTTCCTGTTGCCAAATAACTATCTGCATTTTCACTTTTTGGTGGGAGTGGTGGGAGAAGTTTTGTAACCCCGAGAAGATAAAAAGACATTACTAGAAAACTAACAGGAGTTAAAGCCCCCTCCAGAGTTCCTCCCATTCCCCAAGACGTCGTAGTACACATCTACATGAAGGGGCAAGTTTCTTGCTTTATGTTTTTGGATTCCTGGTGGACTTCCTTTCCTTGGAGGAGGCAGCAATGTCACTTAGAATAGCTTTCCCCACTTTCTAGAAAGCAATCTTCATGGAACTGCAGCCTTGGATAGCCAGGAAGGAGTCTTTGGGAAATATTAAGGTTCAGTGTCAACTTTGATCCCTTGTTCATAATGCTCGAAGGTGAGAGAGAAAAAAACAAACACATATGTAAATGTAGGAAACCTGCCTTTGCAATAGAATACCCCCTGTGTTTCCCCTAGACAACTTCCCAACTAATAGTCAAATTTGGATGAAGAGTGGAGGCAATAACTAAATATTTCAGGGTACTCGATCTTAGGTATGGAGTTGTTTAGTACACAGGCTCCACCCACTACCCTCACTGACTATATTAAGATGAAAAGAACAATGGACTATTTAATAAGTGCTCTTTGGTAGTCCTTCCAACTCTTCCTCGAGCCAGCAATGAAAAGTCACTTAAAATTTTCTGGGTTTTGTTTTCCAGCTTTAAAAATATGAATCAGGGAAGTGGGTGAGTTGTGTCATGTCTCCAAAGGTGACTAAAAGTGATCAATCTTTCTTTTTCCATAAAGAAAATGTTTAGATGCTCCGCTTTCTGTATTTGAAATATCAGGATCACCCAGACTTAGAGGTGGGCCAGCTGGTGAAGTTTTGCTTATTAGTAATCAGTCAAGACAAACTCACATCTGTCTGAAGAGCCAAGATTCTGTCTTAAATGTTCTATCCCTTAAGTTTAAAAAGTTCACTAAAATAGCTTAAGTTAGCTAGTGAAAGTAAGTTAAATGAACGTGGGTAAGTCTTACACCAAAATGAAATAAGTTGGTTACGAAAATTAAGGTACATGTCTGACTTAAATAATATCGTAGAATTATTTGGGCCTGTAAATTTCTTCCTTTTGAATCAGCTAGTGCATGCAGGGATGCATATTTATAAACATATTCGTTGGTGAGCGTTTTCCTCGGTATGTGAGGCTTAAGTTAGAGACTTTATGTATTAATCCATATTTTTCTTTTATTCTCAGACAATTCACAGTGTGATATCTTTTTAAAAATAAATTAACCTAAGCTGGGCAGTGGTGGCGCAAGCCTTTAATCCCAGCACTTGGGAGGCAGAGGCAGGCAGATTGTTGTGAGTTCAAGGTCGGCCTGGTCTACAAGAGCTAGTTCCAAGACAGGCTCAACAACTACAGAGAGACCCTGTCTCAAAAAAACAAAATAGATAGATGATAGATAGATAGATAGATAGATAGATAGATAGATGAATTAACCTAAAAACAACGGAATACTAAGATTCCATTATCATACAATATTTTAAAAAATGTTTTGTTGTTCTTTGGTTTTAAGTGGTAAAACGATGAAGTAACTTTAAAAAGTTGGGGGTAGCCGGGCGGTGGTGGCGCACGCCTTTAATCCCAGGACTCAGGAGGCAGAGGCAGGCAGATCTCTGTGAGTTCGAGACCAGCCTGGTCTACAAGAGCTAGTTCCAGGACAGGCTCCAAAACCACAGAGAAACCCTGTCTCGAAAAACAAAACAAAACAAAAAAAATAAACAAATAAATAAATAAATAAAATAAAAAGTTGGGGGAGGGATTTGTAGACATCTGACTTTAAGTACTGAATCCATTGCCCAGAAAAGACCACTGGTAAGGAACTGCTCATGTATCCTAGTAGAGGTGGTCCATCAGCAATGTTCAAAAGGACTTTTATTTGTTTGACTGTTTTTTCCCCTGGCCATTACTGTTGTTGCTGTTGTGTTGAAGACAGAGCTCCATTTTTCACACATGCTACACACGAATTCTCCCAATCAGCCATATAGCCCCCAGAGTAAATAACCTTTAAAAAATATTTTTTTGTTAAAAGATAGTTAAGTTCGTATTGGGCAATTCAAATGTAGTGATAATTTCATATTGACATTCTGTGCATTATTCCATCAGAAGATTATTTACAGGGTAGTTTGTCTGTAATATATAGTCATACCATAAAAAAAAAAATCACAGGTATAGCCAGAAAGAAACTTTCATTAAGCATCTCATCACCATTTGGGCAAAATTTATAGAAATTTGTCTGATAAATGAAAGAGGCTAGGGAGATGATGTGGCTGGGGAGAGTGGATGTGACTCAAACCGGAGGACTTAAGTTCAGATCACTAACACCCATGTGAAAACTAGACGTGGTGGAGCAAGTTAATTATCTATGAGAGGTTGGGAGGAGCCGGGGAGAGGGCAGAAATAAACGGGTTCCTGAGCTTCCTGGCCAGCCTAGCCAGTTGAGAAGTCTCCGTCCCCAAAGCGAGGAGGATGTCCACTTGTGCAATAGTGGTACCACGGCTGTGGGAGTCACCAACTCCACTGTGCTCAAGACCGACTCCACAGGAGGAAATTTGTGCCTGGAATGTAAATCTTTTTAATAAAAATCCTATGGCTGGGGAGGTGATAAATTCTGGGGAAAACTTAATAATATTATTTAGCTAAACTCTTATAATGTCAAACTGCCTTCTAAAAAAAATTTTACGTTCATAGGCAAATGATGCTCTCAGTCTTGATCAGATAATCCACTTGCTAGTCAAAGGCAGTGAATGAAGTGACTCGTGGCTGTTCAGGAATCTGAGAATAAATAAAGCATAATTTCTTGCTCCCAAGAAAAATATTCATGGTGTCCTCTCAAGTGCTCACAAAATGTGAGCAACGTAGTGTGGAAAGCGTGAGGGGCGGGAGGGGGGGGGAGGGTGACTACAAATGCCGTCTTTTGATCGAGGTGCAGTGATTATAAGTATACACTTTCTGTAGCTGCTGATTTCTGCACTGAGGTTCTGTGATAACATGCAGGCAAAGGTGGCCAGAGCAGCGGCTCTGGTCCCTATCGGTGAACTCTTGCCTCCTGATCGATCCTAGGAGGAGAGGTATGGTTTTCAGTTACCTACTCACTGGTATTCCAGGCGGGCTTCGTTGTATTTCCACACCTGTGATCTGACAGATAGCTCTGAATAAACTCAGTGGGTCACAAAATGAAACATTAAGGCAGGGGTTTGAAAAGGGACTTGGAAATTGAGTGTTGGGAACATGAGAGGAAATGAGCTGGTGTGTGGAGAAAATAATCAGGATATACTGCATACATGTACAAAACTACCAGAGAAATAGGTTAATGAACAAACATCAAAATACGGGGAAGATTGATAGCAGAAGATACCTAGTGTTGACCTCTGGCCTACACACACACACACACACACACACACACACACACACAGTCACACACATATATACAAAAAGCAACCACTTGCTCTTTTAAACTCTAAAAAACATGATCTTAAAATAAAATTTTTAAAATTTCCCAATTAATCAAGTTGTTGTTAAAAATCGATGAAGAAAGTTCATTATAAAAACACCAAAAGAAGTTTTACGTTGCAGTAAAAAAAAAATATTATTTTTTGGAATAGCGTTCTAACTATATTTTATATTGTGTGTTTTAAGAAAAAAAACACCTTTTTTCCTGATTCTCTTCTGTTGGAAAAAATAAAATCCCAAATTCTGTCTTCTGAAATCATAAAAATAAATAACAGATTAGGTTATTAAAATGATGGCTTCTTTAAGAAAGGTATTTTAGCACATATTTGATTTACTCTTGATTTGTTTGTATTTTTTGGAGTCTGCTAAAAAGCAATCCCATAGCAGCTTCAAGAGATTTGTGCTTATTGCTCATAGCTACATATGTGTGCTTCCTATTTAGATTAAAAAAAAAAAGAAAGAAAGAAAGAGATGCCTTCAAATAACAGAATGGCCTGAGTCTGGTGGTCTAAACACCCCACAAATATTTGTAATTAACTTTACCAAAGAGTTTCCATCTGCAAAACTGTTTCTGAGCTCTTTAAAATCTTATCACAAGTAATTGATAATTCTTATGGCTAAGGTTAACTAGTTTTCACATATTATGAAATATTCACATTATTTCTTTAGGAACCGATGCACCTTGAGATCAATTTTTTAAAAATAAATAATAAAAGAGATGCTTTCCTTTCTCTTTCTCCCAATCTCATTCATCTTCACTCTCCTTCTTCCTCCTTGATCTCCTTCATCTTCTTTGTCTTTTGTAAATCTTGAACTCACCTCTGTACTTACATCTCAAAGTATAAGTGACTCAAAAGAAAGACTGTGTAAGTATTCATTCTTACTAATGCACCTGCAGACTTTGTACAAGAGCCAGATAAG